TAATTATAATTTATACCATTATTTAATTATTTATATATAATTAATTATAGCATTACATTAATTGATTACTACTTAATTAATTGACTTATAAGTTATACATAATTAAATAGTTAATTAATTGACTTATAATTAGAAATTTAATTAATTATACCATTACGTTATAAATTTATATTATAATACTTAATCAATTATAACATTTTATTATAAACATTAGTACAAACTTTATTAAATAATTAAAAAATTAATTAATTATAATATTACATTAAAAATTTATAGTATGATTACTTAATAGTTAATTCACTATAACATTACATATAGTTAGATTATATAATTAATTATAACATTACATAATTAAATAATATTGATTGATTATTCATTATATTATAAATATTATAATTACTAATTTATTACATAAACTTAGCATAATACTTAATTAATGATAAGAAATTTAATTAATTATAACATTACCTTATAAACATTTCATTATAAACTTTAATTAAGCATTACATATAGTTAAATAATTACTCAATTAAATTATATATCATGATCACTTACTTAATTATAATATTACATAGTTAAATAATTACTAATTACATAATTAGTTATGAATTATAAACATTACATTATAAACTAGTAATTTATTAATTTACTATATTATTACTTACTTATTAAATGATTAAAAATTTAATTAATTATAACATTACCTTATATATTTTAATATGATTACTTAATCAATTATAACATTCATTTATAAATATTAGTATATTAATCAAATGATTTGAAATTTAATTAATTATAATATTAAATTATAGATTTATAGTATGATTACTTAATTCATTATAACATTACATTAACTATTATGTATGATCATATAATTAATATACATTACATAATTAATATGATTACATAATTACATAATTAGTTTGAATTTATAACATTACATTATAAACATTAGCAATTTACTAATTTACTGTATTATTAACATTACTTAATTAAACGATTAAAAATTTAATTAATTATACATTACCTTATTATTTTATAAATATAATTACTTAATCAATTATAACATTCCATTATAAACATTAATATATTAATCAAATGATTTGAAATTTAATTAATTATAATATTAAATTATAGATTTATAGTATGATTACTTAATTCATTATAACATTACATTATAATATTATAGTTGATCATATAATTAATATAACATTACATAATAAATGATTACTTAATTGACTATGAGTTATGATATTATGTTTTAAACATAGTAATTACTAATTACTACATAACTTAACACAATACTTAATTAAATGATAAGAAATTTAATTAATTATAACATTACTTTATAAACATTTCATTATAAACATTACATTATAGTTAAATAATTACTACATTAAATTATAAATATTATATATACATTATATTTATAATCACTTACTTAATTATAGCATTACATAATTAAATGATTACATAATTACATAATTAGTTATGAATTTATAACATACATTATAAACATTAGTAATTTACTAATTTACTATATTATTACATTACTTAATTAAACGATTAAAAATTTTAATATAACATTACCTTATATATTATAATATGATTACTTAATCAATTATAACATTCTATTATAAACATTAGTATATTAATCAAATGATTTGAAATTTAATTAATTATAATATTAAATTATAGATTTATAGTTATAATTACTTAATTCATTATAACATTACTTATAATATTATAGTATGATCATATAATTAATATAACATTACATAATTAAATGATTATTAATCGACTAGGAGTTATGATATTATGTTTTAAACATTAGTAATTACTAATTTACTACATAACATTAGCACAAACTAATTAAATTAAAGAATTTAATTATTATAACATTACCTTATAAAACATTTCATTATAAACATTAATTAACATTACATTATAATTAATAATTACTTAATTAAATTATAATATTATTATATTACATTTATATTATGATCACTTACTTAATTAAGCATTACATAATTAATGATTACATAATTACATAATTACATAATTAGTTTGATATTTATAACATTACATTATAACCATTAATTACTAATTTACTATATATTACATTACTTAATTAAACTTAAAAATTTAATTATTATAACATTACCTTATATATTTATAATATGATTACTTAATCAATTATAACATTCCAATAAACATTAGTAATTAATCAATGATTTGAAATTTAATTAATTATAATATTAAATTATAGATTTATAGTATGATTTAATTCATTATAACTTACATTATACTATTATAGTATGATCATATAATTAATATAACATTACATAATTAAATGATTACTTAATTGATTATAGTTATGATATTTGTTTTAAACATTAGTAATTATTAATTTACTGCATAAACATTAGCACAATATCTAATTAAATGATAAAAAATTTAATTATTATAACATTACCTTATAAACATTTCATTATAAACATTAATAAATGTTAAATAATTACTCAATTAAATTATAATATTATTATATTACATTAATTATGATCACTTACTTAATTATTGTATTATATAGTTAAATGATACATAATTACTTAATTAGTTATGAATTTATAACATTACATTATAAACATTAGTAATTTACTATATTATTACATTACTTATTAATTAAACAATTAAAAATTTAATTAATTATAACATTACTTATATATTTATAATATGATTACTTAATCAATTATAACATTCCATTATAAACATTGTATATTATTAAATGATTTAAAATTTATAATTATAATATTAAATTATAGATTTATAGTAGGATTATTTAATTCATTATAACATTACATTATACTATTATAGTATGATCACATATTAATATAACATTACATAATTAAATGATTATTTAATGTATTATGACATTATATTATAAACATTAGTAATTTACTAATTTAAACAATACTTAATCAAATTATTATAATTTTATTAATTATAACATTATATTATAATTTTGGTATGATTATTTAATTAATTATAACATCTATTATAAACAAATTACAATACTTAATTAAAGATTAACAATTTAATTATTATAATTTACATTATAATTAAATATATATTACTTAATTATTATAACATTACAATTTACATTGTAGTATGATCACTTAATTAATTATAACATTACAATTTACATTGTAGTATTGATCACTATTTAATTATAATATTACTAAAAGTTTCTAATATTAAATTTACTAAATTATATTTGGTATATTATAAATACCCAATTGACCAATTATAACATTAAATTAATAAATTAATAAATATTAATAATTTATTTTATGTGAATTGTGATGAATAATTGTTTGTGTTTTGGTTTTGATTGACGAATTTTATGTGAATTGTGATGAATTGATTGAATTCAAGTGTTGTTTAGAGATTACAGGTTATGAGTTACATTGGACACAAATTAATGAATAATGAAAATTTGTTAAGGTTGTATTTGTAAACTTATAAGGTGTTTTTGTTATTTTTTAAACTAATAGGGGGGTAATTAATTTTTTACAGGGTACCCTGGAAAAGAACCGGAACCTGCATTTTAGGTTCCGGTTCCTTGAATTGAAGAACCTTTACTGTGCGGTTCCGATTCCGATTCCTTTTTTTGGGAATCTGCACTGTGCGGTTCTGGTTCCGATTCCCCCGAAAAATGCAGGATACCCAGAACCGCTCACCCCTTAATGAGTAGTAGTGCTCAAGAAATTCTGTGCACATTTCAACAAAGTTTGACCTTTGTTTTAGCAATGTAAGCCATGTCCACTGACCACTAAAAATTGAATTAAAAAAGTAAAAGTTATTCAATCTTGATTCCGTACATTATAAAGTCTAAAGAGTCTATAATTGAAAAATACATGCTAATGAATTAGTCCCCCAAATAGAATATAATTATGAAACCACAATATATAGCTGGCCTCATGCATTTTCTTATTTTAATTAGTGAAATTTATATAATTAAAATAGCACTAGCATACTTAGAAGAAATAAAAATTGACATTATACCTCCAAATCAGAAACAGCATGTCTATCACCAAACTGCAAATCATTAAGATTTAAGAGCCACCCTCGCTGACATTTCACGTGTCTTATTCCGGGGCTAATTATAACTAACCCTTAAGTATTCCTGTTAATAAAAAAATTTTGAAGAAAAAGTTTATCTTCAATCAGTACATATCACAAATTAAAAGGAACATTGTCCTAATGAACTGAAGTGATAATGAATGATTTCAAAATTATAGTCTGAATTTGCTGATATTGATAAGTTAAAAGTGCCTACATTTGGTTCAAAATAATTTTGAGCGAGTGGTTTAGGTTATACATGAGTCAGAAATCCAATGAATCGAATTTGCATCAGCAGAAAAACAAGAAAAATAAAAGGGAATATAGTTCTTGTGACATATATAAGTAATCATCTGGTACAAAGCTAAACAAAGATGAAAAATCGAGATTTGGATGATTAACTGGACAATTGTTGGTATTTGGTTAGTTAATGTGCCAAAGATCATAGGATTAATTCATAAACTGTCTTGGTAAAGATTAGCAAGTAGCCATCCCAAATTCAGGTCCGTGATATTCAAAACAGAGAAGACATGAAATGTCTGGAGTCTTGAAAGATTGGCGAATATAAAGCATGAGAATACATAAGAATCAATTTTGACTAACTACAGAATAGTTTCCTGGAGAAGGCTAAAAGACATCAACTTGTGTTACATAATGTAATTCAAATGCCAATAATCAAAATTTTTAGTACGACCCATGAAAATGTTAGAAAACAGGTGAGAGTGGGAGATAAGCACCTCTTAGTTTCTTGCAATTGCAGATATCACATCGGCGGTGAGTTTCAATGTCTATTGCACAACAAATGAAACAAGCTGAAACAAGGTTCAACTTATAAATTTAGAAATAAAGATATCTGAAGAAGAAAAATAATAACCTATTTAAGGAGAAGAGCATCCTTCTTCATTCAATAGATAGCAGCCTTCTTTCTGAATCGACTTTGAATTGATTTTTATGTTTGGGATATGAGCAATCTCAAACCAGCCATCACCCATCCAGTTTCCATATCTTTCCAACAATTGGGGACAGCTGTAAATACACAAACTTTGTAATAGCATTCCTTCTGCTAGAAATATCAGATTGGGGCACTTGAAGATTTCAAGACGTGCAAGAGATGTTAAAGTGCACATCCACTCCGGTAGAACAGGCAAATTAGGACAGTCCCAGATCTCGAGATGTTGCAGAGTGGAAACATACTGAAGCCCCTTTGGGAGAGACTCCAATGCTGGAAGCCTAGCAAATCGTAAAAAACAGAGGCTCCTAAGGCCCTTCCATTGCATGTCATAACTGTCCTCATCAAAGAAGTAGTGACAATCTTCAATAATCATACTCTGGAGAGAGGTGAGGTGTCCTATGCTTTGAAACAGCTGAAAAAGTGGAGGGCATGATACAATTTTCAAATCCGTGAGAGCAGTGAGGTTGTGCACTCCTTCCTCTGGTAGAAGTTCTAAATCCCAAACATATTCGATAGACATAGACTTTAATTTGGAGAGAGGGGCAAAAAAGCAAGAGGAGGTTGATGGTGCTACTCCTACACTAGTCATCAACTTCATTGTCTGTTGCAATGGCTTTGAGCTGGCATCCTCTAAATACAATTCTTCCAAAGATGGATATAGAGGCATGGAAGTCAACTTGGGGCAATCCTTGATAATTAATTTGGAAAGACAAGGAAAATAAGGTAGCTCAATCGACCACGCTCTTTCTTCGTCATTATCAGCATCTATATCTCTCCACCATCCCAGTAATTTAGAACAATCCATGAGTTTGAGCTCCTTAAGAGATTGGAAGAATGTTGTTGATCGTGTGGAATAAAAACTATCTATGCCTTGTTCTGAAATGTACTCCAAATCATGTAAGCCCCAAAGAGACAATATTTCAAGACACGGTAATTGATTCAATGCTGGGATATGTTGACACCTCTTACAATTACCTAAGCTAATTAAAGTTAGGTTTGTGATGAAGGAAAGCCAACTAGAAAGTTTCACACCCCCAAACCACAATATAGTCAATCTTTTGAGATTTGGGTGTGGTTTTAAGCCTTCTAACAGTTTTTCATCGATCCTAACCTCTCCACTATCATCAATAGCAGCATTATCATCAATTGGCTCCCACTCTAATTTAAGGGACTGAAGATACTGCTTTGCTTCTAAGATGGCCAATGTAGGTGTCGTGGCATTTTCCATGTGTTCCAACCTTTTGATTGTTAGCTTTCCTCTCAAATTATTCAGCCCATTCAATTCGCTTAACTCACAATTTTTCTGGGAGGTTGATCCATTGCTCCTCCCTACTTTAAACAATGGTAAAGTTTGAAGTTCGGTCAATAATCCCAAACCGCATGGCATACTAGTCATATAATTACATTTATCAATAAGATGCCTAAGACTCGCCATTTTTTTAATATCTCTTGGCAATTCATTAATCCCACAACCAGAGAGATCAAGTGTTTGCAAATTCCTTAGCCTCAACACTGAACTAGGAAGCTTCTTAATATTCACATTATAAGAAAGATCAAGATATCGTAGATGTTTCAACTTACCAACTGAACTCGGTAGCTTTCGAACCCCTGATTCACTTAAGCTCAACATACGTAAGCACTTGAACCTTGATCACATTTTTTTAAAATTGGATTGATTCAACTGTTCTGTAAGTAGAAATAGATACCATGGGAAAGAAATAGCTCTTATATGGTTTGATCTAAATAATATCGGTGGAATTGTACAAGATGCACCAAAACCTGTGTCAGGATATTTAAATGAGACATAGCGTGCCATTTCATTAAAATTTTCCCCATCCAAAGTTGCTATAGCGCATTCACTTCCTACAACTGCTTGTGCAAGATCATGAAAAAGATCATGCATCTTGCATGTGGTTATATTACCCAACGCGTCATATACTGGCTCTTGAAAAAATGACCTTGAAAGTAAATCCATAAAATACTCGTTGCGGACATCTTCTTGACACTTATTCTTATTTGTTGAATGAAGAAACCCCTGTGCCATCCAGAGGAATATTAATTGCTGCTTCTGGATATCATAGTCCTTAGGAAACAAGGCACAATAGGCAAAGCATTGTTTTAAATATGAGGGGAGATGATCATAACTAAGTTTAAGAACAGGTAAAATACCACTTCTGTCTGGAGCTATTTTTGATAGCTCACTGTCTCTAAACTGCAACCAATCACTTTTTGTGGGTCGATTGCAGAGTAAGTGTCCTATTGTCCTTATGGCAAGGGGAACTCCAGCACACTTGGCTAAAATGTCCTTTCCAAGAGCTACCAATTCCCTACATTTTAGATCTGTCCCATACTCAGATGCAATTTGCATAAATAAAGACCAAGACTCATCTTCATCGAGTCTTCTCAGGCCTTGAGATGGAAACTTACTAGTAATCCTAGCAACGTTTTCATTACGAGTAGTTACAACTATTTTACTGTCTCGTCCACCACCCATTAATAAATCTTTCAATTCACTCCATTTATGAGGATTCTGGTCATCCCATAAGTCATCCAAGACCAGCAAGTATTTTTTTCCATCAATCTCTTCTGGAAGGCGTTTCTGCAGTTGATCCATTTCAAGTTTATCAAGTTTTTCCACATCCCTAGAATTCGCTGATTTAATGATCTTCCTTACAATTAATCCCACATCAAAGTCATCAGATATGCACACCCACATCCTCAAATCAAAATGACTAATAATCTTCTCATCATTATATGCAAATTGAGCAAGTGTAGTCTTTCCTATTCCTCCAATTCCAACTATAGGAATAACGGAAACATTCTCAACATAATTTGACTCCAATAAAAGCTCTATAATTCTAATTTTATCATCATCCCTCCCAATAACCTTTTCTTGACGCACAAAAGAGTACGTCTGCTCTCTCCCAATGTTCAAAACCGGTTTCTCATCATAATTCTTAACAAACTGGAATTGGCTCATATCCTTCGCAATCTCACCCAATCTCTCCCTAATAGTCTTAATTTTATACGCCATTTTAAGACTATATGCGATCTGGTTAGATTTAGAGAAGAATAAACGCACCTCGTTTGTCGCCTCTCGTTGCTTGAGTTCAAGGGCAAAATCGTCCAACAAATCATCAGCATCATAAAAAGCATCCTTCAGCCGTCGAAGCCAAAGCGTCACTCGATGATTCTTTCTGATGTGCTGCTCTTCGGCATCGAGAAGAACCGCCTTCATTGTTTCGACAGTGTCTTTGAGCTTTCTGATCTCGTTACCGACTCCACTGGCGAGTTCGATTTCTTGAAAAACTCGGGATCCCAACATGTCCAAGAGCTTCCAGGCGGCATCAAACACAACTACTTCGGCCATTTCTCTTCGGTTGCAGCTGGCAATGCTAATGAAATTGTGATATTATTCGTCACGTACGACTGGTCTATAAAATAGATGATTAGGTCAACTCTTACGGGGCAAATGATTAAAGGCCACGCGGTTTTTTATCCTTTACTAAATTGCCTTATTTTTTATTAAAACAAACGGATAACAATTAAATTAGCAATGCTATAGACACCGGTGTTATTACACCGAAATTTTGTACCAGCTTAAGTGTATGTTAAGTCAGACCATTCAATGCATTTTAGCGTTATTAAATTTTGTCTAATGAATGGCCTTCTATTACATATGGATGGTCGTTCACTGATATGGACGTCCATCCATATTATATAGACAGGAGTCCATTTACTACGGACGGACATCCTGATTTAGAGGACGTCCGTCCATTTCTAAATGAAAAAAAAATTTTAAAAATTAGGGACAGCCGTTCATAGGTTATGAATGGCCGTCCATACATATTGGACGAGCGTTCATATGTTAATGGATGCCCGTCCCTTAATTTTGGACGGGCGTCCATTAAATAAGGGACGCCCGTCCAATATGTAAAATATAAAAATTTTAAAAAAATATTGGACGCCTGTCCACAATTTGTGGACGTGCGTCCTTAATTTGTGGACGGGCGTCCGTATATAATGGATGCCCGTCCATAATTTGGTTTAAAAATGTAAAAAAAAATATTTGGACGCCTGTCCATTCTTAAGGGACGGCCGTCCATTCCTTATGGATGGCCGTCCTTTATTTTAGGACAGGCATCCCTAGTCTAAATAAAAAAAAAAATTTGAATTAAAAATGTTTAGGGTTAAAAATTTTGGGAAAAGCGTTTAAAAACAAAACAAAAACGGTAGCTGCGGTGTTCTTCTTCTTCTTTCTTCCATCTGCGCTCTAGATTATCGTGTTCTTCATCTCATTTGCGCGATCTGGTTCATCGTCTTCCTCATCTTAAAAAACAAAT